CAACATTGTAAAATACAACATTTACTATAATCTATTTTTAGTACATCCTTACTAGGATGTGATGTACAATTTTCCCTTCCTCTCCTCTCCTTTCTGCTCCTCTCCTCTCTCCTCGAATGTCCCATTTTCAGCACAGCATGCCTTTATAATCTGTGATGCCTCCGCTTCCCGAGCGTCTGGTCGCTCTAAAACTTTTCTGACAAAGCAGAGAGGGAAATTGCATTTCGGTTTTCTATAGAGAATTAAAGCGTTTTAAGAAATGTGAATTATTGATCTTAAGTGGATTTATTCTGATGTTGTTGTGTGTGAGTGGAGTTCTCACTGTATTACACTTGTGTATGTGTGTCTCTACATTTGCATGAGCCCTGGCTTGGGAGCATATTTGCTGTGTGTATATTTGGGGCAGTGGCAGAAGGGTAAGATACGTATTGGGGGAAATAGCGTATGGCTGTGCGCGCTTTGGTGTTGGGGCGACTGAGCAATTTGGCATTGGAAAGGATTTTGTGTGTCTGCAGCAGCTGCAAAAGGAAAATGAAATGAAAATTCATCTACTTCTGTGCAGAAGCACATAGAAAAGGAGCATCCGGGATGAGTAAAGGGAGTCAAAATGTTTAGACCAAGTCAATGAAGTCATTTCCTCCCCCTGACTTTTTCTCCGCCATGCATTATGTATCTTAATCTGATCTGAAGGCTTCGCTCTTAATGTTCCTTCAACCAAAGATGAAGCCTCTGAGTGTGAAATTTAGCTGGAATTAAAGTTTTAACATGACAGCTGGCTCAGGGAATCCATGGCTCAGCTCCTCTTTGGGCAGCAAAGCAGCTAAAGAGACGACGGAAAGAATAGAGAGCTAGAGAGGATGAAAAGTGGGTAAAGGAAAGGAAGGAGGCGAGGCGAGAATGAAAGGTTAAGGAGGGAATTTGGGCTTGGAGAAAGAGTGTGAGAGAGGAAGAGGAAAAAGACAGAAAGCAGGTTTTCTTCAAGACTGTTGCACTGGGAATCTTATCTCTTGCTGCAGCTCCCTGTCGTGCCACACTTTTGCATGTTTGCATGGTGGCGGCCGGTGTTTGCTGGTGTTTCATTTGGGGCTCTCTGTTTCACTCTACTCGCTGCCTGTTATCAGGCCTGCCGGGCTCTGGTCCTGGGGATTTTCATAGACACTGAAACACTGTCACTGCAGTGGCTCACAGCACTGCTAATTCCAGCTAGTAATGTAGATTTTTAGCTGAAAATGTAATCTCTTTATACCGTAAGAGCATTGAGAACATTGGCTTCACCTAAATAAATTACTCTGAAGAGAGGAAATCTCCCTGGCATTAATTCTCACACCTGCGCTATGTTTTAAACAGAACAAAGATTAGTGCAGAAGAATGGAGAAGGTTGACACGTTGGCTTTCTTTGAGGCCCCAGGAAGGCTCTGGCTATCTCCTCGGTATTAGTGAAGGTGTGTATATGTGTTTGCGCTTTCTTACACACTGGACTCCTTGTCTGCAATTTGCATAGTGAGTACTGTTGAATGTGACCCAGTGGAGCTGAGCTCTTGAGCTAATTGGCTCTTCTGTGCTTGAAGGGCAGATGACCAGTGCACCCAGTAGAGTCCTGTGCGCCCTGGGCTCTCATCACAAGCAGAGAGCCGTGCAACTTCACTGGAATGTGTGTGTGTGTATTTATGTGTGTTTAGTGATTGTGTTAATGCATTTGAGCAAGTTAATTTTATGTACGCCATTTAGTGTTTCTTAAATAGGTTAGCTAAACAATCTGTGTGGCGTGTTGTAATCTTTAAGGAAGGTTACGCAATCTCCGAAAGAAAAAATAAAATATTTATTCTCCCCGAGTAAAAAATTCATAGCCGTCAAACACACCCTTGCTCTAACCAGTATACTCAGAGGGTTTCTTGCTACATTTTTACTCGTTCCACTGGTGGTTTCACAGAGAGAAACTTTCATAAAGTTTTATCTCCAACATCCAGATTTCAGATATGTTTAAATAACTTTGCTCTAAGTTGCCCTGTTCTTGAGTATCTTAAGTAAATCCAAATGAATTTGATTTAAAATAAATAAATAGAGTCGGTTTTGCTGATATTTTGATATTAGGCTTGGGTAGACTTGTCAGCTGGTGATTATTACTATGTAAACTTCTTTCTATTTTGTGGTTTGAATGATTTTTATGGCATATAAAAGTTGTTTCACTTGCATTCAAAAAATCCTTGGTTTGGTATTGCTAGTAGATTATAGTTACTTAAGGCTAGTGCTGTTTACCTCAACTAGTTTTCTATGTTTTCCATACTTTTTCCACACAACCAAGTGACTGAGATAGTGTACAGGAACATTTGTGGTGCATGTGTGTTAGAAGTCCCCAATTCCCAATGGGAGACCATGAAAGTGATTGCGTACAACAGGGCGAAGGTCCTGTGGGACTTCAAGGTCCAGACAGACAAGCAGCTGTTGGCCAGTGAACCAGACATAGAAGTGGTTGACAATGAGAAGAAGACTGCAGTTGTAAGAGACGCAATTGTAGCTGACAGCAACACGAGAAAGAAGGAGCACGAGGAGCAACTAGACTGACTACACTGGTTGTATTTCAGATCAAAGTGAGAGACATTAGGGTACAAACTGCTGTCATTTACAGCCACAGTAGATTCTCCCTTTTCCTCCTCACACTAGTGAAATGATAATTAATGGCACTGACAACAACACATAATACAGTATTACTGTAAGTGTGGTAAAAGCTTACCAACAACTGTTACACTAAACCAGTGACCTTCTAGCTCCTCGGGTAAAATCTGAGAGTGAACATGATGAAAGTGAAAGTAAATTAACAAAAATTGTCATCGCTGGATGTTTTTGAGTCATATCAATTCACTCTGATCACAGTTTAAAGTTTAAGTAAAAACCATTTGCAAAGATAGAAAACTGTGATATACCTCTAAACCGCCTGCTGTTTGCTTCCTTGATGCTAGCTCTGCTGACAGCAGCTACTGTCACATGGCAGTAAACACAGAACTGTCACAGGCTGGGTCTCTGACCCAGCGCTCTGAGTTCATTTTGTATTTGTCTCATTTTAGATTTGTGATTAGTTTATGTGTCATTCCTATTTAGCTTTAGTTAAGGAAAGGCAGTTATTATTTATTGTTTCCTTGGTTTCTATGTTTGAGTTCTTGT